TAGTGCAGTACAGGTAGGAATGACTCTGGGAAGACCTGTTGAGCGGCGCTGACCCAGAATATTCATGGGGCTCCTGGAAATCAAGGGGGAAGAGAGACGCAACGGGAAAGTAAACAGAAGACCTAAATACAGCGTCGCTTTTGTGCCACCGGCCGTGAGCATGACTAACGAGAACGGGGAGCGGCGCCCAACCTCCCCGTAACTAGGAAAAAGGAAATTCAAATGATGATTGGGTTTCTGCTACTCAGGCAACGGGTGGGCGAGAGCGAGGGAGCTGAATGCCGCCGGTGCTCCTGGGAAAGGGAGGGGTGCCCGCTGCCTTAGCCATGAAGAACACACTGGCAAGATTGGCAGAGTGAAGCCAGCACACCGGAGACCCATCGTCCCCCACCAAGAGGGACTCCTGAAGGTCCCAAGGGGGACGATGGAGGGTCTTCACTGAACACTTTGATCTCAGGGCAGCTGCCTGCATCCTCCCAGCGGGAGGACTGGCGCATGAGGGGGAGGGGCACGTTGTGCAGCAACGGGAAATTAACTGTGTGCACTGTGATGTGGAGGCCTCTCAGAACCCTGGCTGGTGTGGCTCCCTTGTGTGGGCGTAGTTCCGTGCACCGAAAGGTTGCCATTTTGATTCCCGATCAGGGCACATGCCCAGGTTGCAAGCTCCATCCCCATAGGGAGCGTGTAGAAGGCAACTGATGCATGTTTCACTCTCACATGATGTTTCTCTCCTTCCTTTCCCCTCTCAAAATCAATAACAGCCCTAGCCAGTTTGGCTCAGTGGATAGAGACTGAAGGGTCCCAGGTTTGATTCTAGCCAAGGGCACATGCCTGGGTTGTGGGCTCGATCCCCAGTAGCGGGTATGCAGGAGGCAGCCGATCAATGATTCTCATCATTGATGTTTCCTTTTTCTTTTTTTTTAAATATATTTTTTATTGATTTTTTTTTTTACAGAAAGGAAGAGAGAGGGATAGAGAGTTAGAAACATCGATGAAAGAGAAACAACCATCAGCTACCTCCTGCACACTCCCTACTGGGGATGTGTCCACAACCAAGGTACAAGCCCTTGACCGGAATCGAACCTGGGACCCTTCAGTCTTTAGGCCGACGCTCTGTCCACTGAGCCAAACCGGTTAGGGCTCATCATTGATATTTCTATCTGTCTCTCCCTCCCTTTTCCTCTCTGAAATCAATAAAGAAATATATTTTTTTTAAAATAGAAATCAATGCAAAAATATCTTAAAAAATAAAAATTTGTGGTATCAAGGAAAAACTAGCAAGGTCAGCAATCCCACGTTCGAGGTAAATGATAGAACATGAGGGTGAGGACGCACCGGGGCCGGTGATGGTGAAGGGAGCCGCAGGAGAGAATCCGTCAGACTAGAACCCAAGTGAGCAGGACAGGGGCCACTGGAGTGGGATTTCAAGGGCCTCGCACGTCTGGATGTGGCTCTCACATCCTGTCCTCAGCAGGTGCAGCCTGGTCCCCTCCCTGGAGTGGGGCCACCATTCCCCCTTGTCCATCATCACCGAGGACACCCGCCCAGTCCCAGGAGATGGAGTGAGGTGAGGGGGGCTCTCTAGACTCAGGCTGAAGTGGCCAAACCACGTGTCCACCAGGCCAGGGCTTCCAGCAGCTCCCCAGCCCTGCCTGTCTCTGAGAAACCGTTCCTGTTTGTCCCTAATCCTGCCTGCGGTGCTGTGCCCCCCAGCCCCTCCAGGTTAGCCCCTGGGACTGTGAGGTCCTCACGTCCACGCTGATGAATCCGGCTTCTCCCTCGAGGCCTGTGAAGCCCCCCCTCACACAGCCCCATGGGGCCAGAGCCCAGCAGGAGGGAGGAGCCGGCAGCGGAGTCACAATCATTCCTCAGACTTAGTGTCAGAAAAAAGAAGCGAAGCAGCACAGTAACATCCCTACAGGGGAGGAAGGCACGCCGGACAGACGCCCAGAGGACAGACTGACCACCGGTGGCCCGGCCGGCGTGGCTCCGTGGTTGAGCATTGACCTATGAACTGGGAGGTGATGGTTCGATTCCCAGTCAGGGAACCCTGCCTGGGCTGTGGGCTTGTGTGCCCGGTCAGGGCCCGGAGCTGGCCATGTGTCCCTCACGTGTCCACAGAATGACTGGTGAGGGACGTGCCTGTGGATCAGGTAGGGGGTGAGCAGGGAGTCTGGCCACCGTGGGGGGATTTGAAGGGCCCCCCCCTCGCCTGGAGCTCCGGCAGGTGAGGCTGGGGCACAGCCCGGGGCATCGGCCTGGAGGGCACTCAGGCGGCCGCATGGACAGCAGTGACGATGGCCCCAGGGCGGCCTCCCGTGGCCGTTGCTCGTAGGTCTGTGACCCGGGCCCATTCCTGTCTCCACCTGACAGAGGAAGGCGGCCTGGCCCTTGGGGGTTCCTCACCCGGGCAGTTATTTCTATCTGCGTCAGAGAATGAGCTTCAGTATCTTCAGGCACCAGCCAGGCAGATGAGGCCTCCACCACCGGTGAGGCCCCGGGCCCACCTCCAGGGCGCAGGAAGGAGGAGGAGGGCTGGAGGGGCCTGGACCAGGGGGGCTGGGATGGAGCCTGGGAGGATGGATCCTGGGTGGAGGGGGACAGGCGGTGAGCTTGGGAGCATGAGGATTTGGCTGGCCACCATGTACAGGCCATCTCCCAGGCCCGGCTCGCCCGCTGACCGCACAGGGCAGGCGGTGCCTCCAGCCCTGCACCCCCACCTCTGGGAAAGGCTGCGGGGACGGGGGACCGGCCTCCCCATTGGCGAGTGGACAGGTCTGTGGCTCTAGCGGGGTGGGTTCGAGCCCATAACCAGGGCCCCAATCAGGCGGAGGGCCAGCAGGGAAGGAGGGCAGACAGCAGGGAGCCCTGTGGCCCCAGCACCCAGAGCTAGAGGATGGACGCCCCTGCCCTGGGCCCCTGCCCCTGAGGAAGACGCGGGTGCCCTTCACAGGTGGCCTGAGACAGGCTCGCCATGGCTGCTGGAGTGGAGCCCCGCCCATCCCCCAGACATGGCTGCACCCTACTCCCTCCTCCTCCCCCAGAGGATGAGTCACTCCACAGCCTGCTCCCCCAAACTCCCCCTCTTCCGGTCTGGATTTTGCTCCTCAGGGTCACAGCAGCTCCAGGATCTCAAGGACGGAGGAGGCGGGGGAGGGCCCAGAGGGAGGGTGGGTGACGAGCTAGTGCACGTCACACAGGAGCCCCAGGGTCACCCTCCGTCCTCCCCGCCCCCCCCTCCAGCTCTGGCACTGCATGGGGGGCAGGTAGGGAGGGGCCTTCCTAGAGCCGCCCACAAGCTGCCTGTCACAGCTGCAGTGTTCAGGGAGCCTGGCTGCTGCTCACTGCAGCAGGCGCTGCCCCCTGACACCCACACCCCGTACTGCAGGGCCAGTGTTTTCCCGTCTGAGGGTGCAGCTTCAAGGGCAGGGGCTGGACACCAGCCTGAGGCTGGCCGGACCTGGTCAGGCAAAGGCTCCAGGGCCAGGAGCTTGAAGGAGCCGGGAGGAAAGGGGCCCAGCTCCCTTCCCTGTCCCCAGCTCCCTCCCTCTCTCCCTCCTCTTTCCCCTCCCTCTCCCCCACTCCCTCTGCTTTTCCCCTCCCTCTCCCCCTCTCCCCCACTCCCTCTCTCCCTCCGCTTTTCCCCTCCCTCTCCCCCTCTCCCCCACTCCCTCTCTCCCTCCTCCTCTCTCCCCTCCCAAATAAGCACACAGGCAGCGGTTTGAGTCTAAAGATGATGGATGTTTAGACATGGGCACGAGGCTCACACCTGACCAGCAGCACACCACGGGCGGGCACAGCGAGGACAGCGGGAGGGAGCGGGCACTGGGGTTGCCGCCAGGGTGAGGGCGAGGGTGCGAAGGGTTAGCCACAGTGACTCCAGAAGTGCCAGATCCAGGGGGTCACAGTCGGGGGCTCCCACGGAGGGCAGGCACGCCACACCGCACCCCTCCCGGCACCCGGCACTGCAAGGTGGTCAGCACAGGAAGCAGCCTGGGCGAGGGCACTCGGGTCTGTCCGGAGAGGGGCACGGCCAGCCTTCCCACCGCAGTGGGTGTGAGGGCAGCCGCATCCCCACCCGATCCTGGGCTCCCGGCCCCCCCATCGCAAGAGGGGGGGCGTCCTGTCCGTCATGATGCAGACCACAGTGCGAGGTCCAGCTGGGCTGGGCTGGCATCTCGTCTGCCCTCCGGGGCCAACGCTGCCCCTTCCGACCAGGCCCCCTCTTCCCAGCCATCTGCCCCCACTTACCACAGGAAGTCCCCGTCAGAGGCAGCACTGCAAAATGAAAAGGGGGGCTCCCAGCCAGCTTCCCCCCCCCCGCCCCCGCCAAGGTCAGAGGAGCTGGAGGCCAGGCCCCACCAGCTGAACCCTATCCATCCGGGCTCCCAGCTGGTCAGACACCCCCCGCAGGGACACACCACGGGGCACTGTCTACCGAGGCTCCTGCACAGCCTGAGGGGGGACTCTGGCCCAAAGCGCGCGCACACAGCCCAGCCCGCCCATCCGGGGGCCACAGCTCCCTCCGGGCTGCAGGGAGGGGCCGGGGACACTAAGGCACAAGGCTAACCTAAGCCACGGGGAGGGGTGCAGAGCGGACAAGGCCCGGGGGGCCTGGAGCAGCAAAGCGCACAGGAACCAAGCAACGCACAGGCTGGAGGTGCAGGCGACGTCCCAGGGGGTGATGCCAGCGGCTCTCGCCAGGAGGCGCTCTCTGTCCTCACAGTCAGTCCCTGCAAAGGCCTCGGGGGAAGGGGAGGGGCCCGGTGGCGGCCCGCACCCCGCTCCGCAGGCCCCAGGGCCAGTCTCGCACTGGATTCCGGGGAGCGGGCAGCTGGATGGTGAAGAGGCGGGATGAGTCCCAGGTGGCGGCGCAGGCCCGCGCGCTCTCCATCTCCATCTCCATCCGCAGCGGCCCTGCGCGGACAGCCTGGGGGGGGTGAGGGGGGAGGGACGGGGGGCAGGGCGGGGGACAGGGCCCCCCGCGGCCATCCTCTGGCTCAGGGCTGGCGGCGCAGGCCGGGGCGCCCGAAGGACGGGTGCATGAGGTTCTCGGTGATGTAGGCCACCAGCAGGCAGATGACCACCAGCATGACGCAGATGGAGCCGCCCACGGCGGTCATGGCCACCACGATGTCGCGCATGCCGCCCGGCTCCGCCACGAACTCCACGCACTCGGGGGGCGGGATGTCATCGATGCCGCGCTGGCTGTGCACGGGCAGCGGCTGCAGGCACAGGCGGTAGCGCACGCCCTCGTGCACCTCGGGCAGCAGGTAGTCGCGGCAGGAGGTGCCGAGCAGCACGCGCTCGCAGGGGAAGCGCGTGTAGGCGCCGCGCCACGAGCACTCGAGCAGCAGGGAGCGCAGGCGGCGCGCGCGGCCGGCCGGCAGGCGCCACTGCACCAGCACGCTGCGGTTGCGCAGGACGCTGGCGCGCAGCATGCCGCCGGCCGAGGTGTGCGCCTTGCAGCCGGGCTCCTCGCAGCGGAAGCCGCGCATCGCGGTGCGGAAGCACAGGCGCGCCGCGCCGCTCGCCTCGGGGTCCTCGGGCAGCAGCTTGTAGGGGCACCAGGGCGTGTCGGCCGGCGGCTCCCAGCTCGCGGGCGTCGGGGTGTCCGCGGCGCAGGGCGGCGGCCCGCGGGCGGCCAGCAGCAGCAGCAGCAGCAGCAGCGGCGGCAGCATTGGCGGCGGCAGCGACCCGGAGCGCATCCTGCCTGCGGCGGGGCTGGCGCAGCTGCGGGACTCCGGCTCCTCGCGGGGACGCGGGCTCGTGGGCGCGGGCGGAGGGTCACGCGGGCTGCGCCGCCGCCGCCGCCGCTCCCCGCGCTCGCCCCCCGCGCGCCGTGCCCCCCGCCGCCGCCGCCGCCGCCCCCGCCCGCTCCCTGCGCCCTGTGCGCGCTCGGACCCGGCGCGGCGGAGGCGGGGCCGCCCCACGCTCCGCCCCCTTAACCCTCGCAGGGCCGTGGGCCTGGAGGGGGAGCGCGCGGGGGACGTGGGCGCGCGCCCCGGGGTCTCCCAGCCCCGGCCGCGCGGGTGTGGCCGGCTCCGCGCGCGTCCGCCGGTCCCTCCGCCTCCGGCCGTGTGAGCGCCCCTGGGCCCGCGCCCCCCAGGCCCTGGCCGCTCCATCCCATCCCTGCCTCCACCTTCTGGTGCTCCAGACCCACCGCCCTCCAGGGCTGAGGGCACGGGGCTTACCAGAGTGGAGACAGGGGCCCTCGCAGGCTGCAGTGCTGTCGCTGGTTCCCAGCTCTGCACAGCCACGGGGCACCCACTCACCCATGGAGCACCCCACCCCACCCCACCCAGCCTCACTGGTTCATTTTCTTTCTTTTTAAAAATATATTTTATTGATTTTTTTTTTCTTTTACAGAGAGGAAGCGAGAGGGATAGAGAGTCAGAAACATCCATCAGCTGCCTCCTGCACACCATCCACCGGGGATGTGCCCGTAACCGAGGTCCATGCCCCTGACAGGAATCGAACCTGGGACCTTCCAGTCCACAAGCCGACGCTCTATCTACTGAGCCACACCAACCAGGGCGTTCCTGGTCATTTTCAAAAAGTCCAGGTCAGCACCAGATCTCAAGGCCTCAGAGCCTGAAGCCAAGGGTCAGACCCTCCACTTCTCCCTGCTCCGCCCAGCACCCAGCACGCCTCCTTACCGGCCTGGAGGGCCCTGACCCCAAATCCAGGCCTCTGCGGCTCGTGGGGACCTTCAGCATCTGGGGGTGAAGGCTGGGAGAGAGGCCCTCCCCGGCCCAGGCCTGGCTCCTCCCTCCTCCTCAAGCAAAGAGGGCCCAGGGCTTGGACCCTGCCCCAGCTTTTAAAAATATATATTTTATTGATTTTTTTTTACGGAGAGGAAGAGAGAGGGATAGACAGAAACATCGATGAGAGAGAATCATCCATCAGCTGCCCCCTGCACATCTCCTACTGGGGATGTGCCCGCAACTGAGGTACATGCCCTTGACCGGAATCCATCCTGGACCCTTCAGTCCGCAGACCGACGCTCTATCCACTGAGCCAAACCGGTTCTGGCTGCCCCACAGGGAAGCAGACAGTGATGGTGATCTAAGCCCACCCGGAACCCCGCGGAACGCGGGTCAACTTGCTCACACCGGCTGCAGTGGGAACCGGGGACAAGGGCAGGGGCTCTGCCTGCGGGGAGGGGCGCCGGGGGCAGGTGGCAGTGCGGGGAGGGGGTGCGGGACCAGGTGAGGAGAGGGGCCCCCATGCTCTCCGTGCCTTAGTCTGGGGCAGCCCCTGGAGGGCGCACGCGCTTTCTCCCCGCGTTTTGCGATCACAAGCCGCGCCCAGCCCTGGAACACAGGCTTCCTGCAGACACCCAAAGGCGCCGGGCCTGGGTCGCCCCATCAGCACCCCAGGTTCAGGGCGCCTCCGGCCGGGGGCCCGCGGCGCGCAGCTGCGGGCGGGCGGCGACCGCCACCTGCTGGCCGCGGGGAGTAAGTTCCCCTCAGGCCCTCCTCCCTTTCAGCCATGCCCTGGGGGTTCTTGGACAAGAACTTTCCATTTTAAATCGCTTTCAGCCCTTTTCCTGTCCTTGGATCATCTTCTCTCTCTCTCTCTTTTTTAAAATATATATTTTACTGATTAGAGAGGAAAGGAGAGGGAGAGAGTCAGAGACATCAATGAGGAGAGAAACATCCATCATCTGCCTCCTGCACACACCTCAATGGGGATGTGCCCGCAACCAGGGTACATGCCCTTGACCGGAATCGAACCTGGGACCCTTCAGTCCGCAGGCCGACGCTCTATCCACTGAGCCAAACCGGTTAGTGTTCTCTTTCTTATCCAGGAGTTGCCTCAGCCTTTTGTAAGTTGCAAAGAGTTTGTTTCTGGCCTCTGGCTTTGCCTGTAACCGCTCCAGCCGGACAAACACGCTTGACCTGGGGCTTTGTCCTTCCTGGAGGTGAGGTTCAGATGTTCAGGAAGTCCCCCGGTCCTGAGGCCAAAGAGCAAATGTCCTTTGGGCCCCCAGGACTTAAGTGGTTTGTTTTATTTATTTATCTATTTACTCTGGACCTCAGTTTTGGTCAACTCAGGTCTCAGAGATATGTATGTCTGCACAGAGAGGTCTGGCTGGCAGTCTGAACTCCCCGCTCCAGGGCCTGGCCTTGGACCTTGGGGAGTGTGTGTGTGTGTGTGTGAGGGGGGGGGCTTTCCCACACCGTGCCCAGCCGCATGGCCCTGGGCGGGCACACGTCTCAGCCCGCCTTCTCGGGGTCCTCATCTGTGAGTCGCGATGGATACCACCACCTGGCTGGCCGGGCTGAGTAAGGAGAACCTGTGAAAACACACGTGCCCAGGACTCAGTAAGCACTGCACAGTTTATTTGAGATAATTACAGGCGGAAGAGACTGAAAAGTGGGGGTTCGCTGGAAATCTGTGCTCCGTGGTTGGGGCAAACAAGCTCCCTCCCCACTCTGCTTTTAGAAGGGAGCCTGGCAGACCGGCACCCAAGGAGAGACAAGGGGGGCCCAGAATAAACATTCACCAGAGGAGGATCCAGCCCTGGACCACCTCTGCCTCAGAGAAGACCCCTCCTCCGTCTTGTTTAAGACACTTTTATTGGAAGCTTTTCTGACACTGTCAGGGGGGCTTGATCCTCCCAACACAGTGTCTCGCTCTCGGATTTCCGCAGGGAAAGAAGGCTCACCAGACGTTTGAGGAAAGCTGTCACTGGAAGTGGACAGTCCAGAGCAAAGGGAGAGAAGGAACCGGGTTGGAAGAATCAACACCGAGAGCAGGAGGAAGGCTTAGAAGAATCTATAATTAAACTAAAACGAGGAAAATGCCCGCAGGAAGAACATTGTGTGTGTGAGGAAAGGAGTCAGGGAAAGTGGATATGAGCTCAGAAAGGGAAGAAATGGGAGCCCGAGGTGTTTTCATACCATCCAGCAATTCTCCAGCGCTCAGCAGACCCTGGCCAGTGTCCTACAACTTAAACCATCTGTAGGCCCTGGTGGGGTAGCTCAGTGGGTTAGAGTGTCATCCCAATACTCCAAGGTTGTGGGGTTCACCTCTGGTCAGGTCACATACTAGAATCAACCAACGAAGCATAACTAAATGTAACATCCTATCCCTCTCCCTTCCTCTTTAAAATCAATAAAAAAAATATTAAAAAAAACACTCCTAAGTAGATGGACATGAACCTCTGGGATGAAAAAGACAACTGTGTGTATAGATCCATGGGAATAGAAAGGTCCACATCGATGTGTATCATTGTGACACTTGACAACACAGGATAAAGATCCTACACGCTTTCTCAGAGAACAAACATATCCTATACAAATCGCCAGGAATCAGAATGGCTTTGGAGTTTTCAACTGCCCGCCTGGGAGCTGAAAGAAAAAAAAAAAAAACCACAAACAAAAAACCTATGAATTCAAAATATCTTGAAGGAAAAGTATTTCCCACCTGGAATCCCATACCCTGCCAAATGATCAATCAGAGTGAGAGTAGAATAAACACACTTCAGATATGGACCCTTCCCAGGAAGCTATTAGAGGGCTAACCAAGTAGGGGGTCAGCACAGGTTCCAAGTAACGGACTCCTGCACCAGGGAGAGGCAGAGCCAGCAGGATGAGTAGAGAAAGATGACAGTATGGATGGCTAGGAAGCCATCAGTCTGGACTGGAACAGGAGGCCCGGGGCTCTGGCAGAGAGGTCTCCAGGAATTAAATAGAATGTCTGAGCCTTTGGAAAATGTTGTCAATAGGCATGTGGCAAAGATGTTAGAGGCTTGGGGGGAATTAGGTATGAGTTAGTAAAATTCTAGGCGTAAGAAAAATACTAGGGCCGAAGCCAGTTTGGCTCAGTGGTAGAGCGTCGGTCTGCGGACTGAGGGGTCCCGGGTTCGATTCCGGGCAAGGGCACATCCCCGGGTGTGTGTGTGTGTGTGTGAGTGTGTGTGCAGGGGGCAGCTGGTCGATGTTTCTCTCTCATCGACGTTTCTAGCTCTCCCTCTCTGTAAAAAAAATCAATAAAATAAAAAAAAGAAAAGAAAAATTACTAGGTATTAACGAAAAAGAAAAAAAAATACTGTGAAAGAACAGAGGCAGAGTTTTATGCAATAACAGGTGACATAGCAGCAAGCACCAGACCGGTGATGTAATCCTAATGGGAGGGAGGTCACGTGGCCATAGGGAGGGGGAGGGGGCAGGGTTGTTTGGAGATAAAGTTCTCACTGACATCTGGAAGTCCACAGAAATGTCTAAACACATAAAGGACCAGCAGCCCCTGGTTTAGAAACATGTAGGTTCTGGCCCAACCAGTTTGGCTCAATAGATAGAGCGTGGACCTGCGGACTCAAAGGTCGGGGGTTCGATTCCGGTCAAGGGCATGTACCTTGGTTGCGGGTGCATACCCAGTAGGGAGTTTGCAAGAGGCAGCTGATCGATGATTCTCTCTCATTGATGTTTTTAACTCTCTATCCCTCTCCTTTCCTCTCTGCAAAAAAATCAATAAAATATATATTTTTAAAATGCTGCAGACAGACGCCCAGGCATCCGCAGCCTCCGTTTCCCTGGTAACGGAACGCGTCCCCGAACAGTGGAGCGCCACGTAGGGTTGGGCAAAGACGGCCCGCCCATCCATGACGCACTTCCGGCTCAACCCCCGCCTCCGGGGCGGAAGTGCTTGACCCCTGTTTCGCGCGCTCCCC